GGCGAGGCCGGCTGGCAGCAGGCCCGAGGGGAACCCGGCCGATGGGCTCGGCCCCAGCGACCGCCCTGTCTGGAGGCTTTTCTCGAGGAGAGTCGTGGTGGGAGCTTGGGGTACCTCCTGCCCTCCCCAGCTCTGGGGTGGTGCCCCGGGCCTCCCTGACCAGGCGCCGTTTTCCCTCAGGTGAGATGCAGGCTGACCGGCCACGAGATGCCGTGTCGGCTGGGGGGGGCGCCGGGGTTGGTCGCAAGCGGCTGATAAAGACCGCGCAGGAGTTTGACTATGGCAAGTTTGAGCCCCATATAGTGCCCAGCACAAAGAATCTGTACGTATTCTTCCTCTTGGGTGTTATGCTTCACACTTTGTGAATCTCAGAATCTCTTGAGTGGGAAAGACTGGAAAAGTCTTTACAAAGAATTTATCAACTTTGAGCACAGTGCTTGTAAGTGAAAAGTTTTAAAGTGATACAATACTTAAACTCTATTGCTGGCTCTTTCTTTCTTTCTGTGTCTGTCAGACACCAGCTGTTTTGCAAGCTCACTCTCAGACACATCAACAAGTTTCCAGAGCACGTGCTGCGGCATGTCCAGGGGAAGCGCTACCAGAAGGCCCTGAAAACATGTGAGTAGCTTTTCTGAAGATACAACCAGGCAGCTTCTTTCCTTGAGCTGTTGAGATTCCACTGACTCTACATGAAGGAAGGGGATCCGTTTTCTTTAGGTTGACAGTAATGTGTTGATGTTGCTGTGTGTGCTCCTTAGCTAGGAAGAAAGATCTCAGATGCAGGGAGCAATTGGCCTCTAGCAAATAGCTTAGAACATCCGTACTTGAGCGGTTCTAAAACTTCCCCAGAGAAGGCGGTTCACACGTCTAGCACCGTCTCTGTGTTAACATCTTTCCCATCTGTCAGGGCCCATAGCATCGCTGTAGATTACGTGAATGTATGTTAGAGTTGGAGCATGACAGACTTTTGAGCTGCATTTAATATAAGCTAGAGCTGGAAATGGAAAGGACTGGGGTGACTGGGTGGCCTTGCTGAGTGCTGCCCCATGGTTCGCACTATTAGACGAGGAGTGCCAGAAGGAAGGAGTGGAGTACGTCCCAGCCTGCTTGCGACAGAGGAAGCAGCGGACACAGCACTCTGATGACCAAATGAACGGGAGCAGGCAGCCTTACAGAAAAGAGGAATTCTGGGAGCCAAAGTCCAGCGATGAGGATGGAGAGGAGACAGATGACAGCATGAGTGACCTGTACCCTCGTGAGTAAGAACATTGGTATAATCTATGTCCTAAAGAGTTTGTTGGATAATTTTCTCCTGGCTCCTTTTTACTGCTCCCTGCTGTTCGTGTGCCCGAGGCATGTGACTTCCATCCAGTTTGGGGTTGTTGGGTTTTGGAAGAGCTTGACACTGCCAACTAATAGCAGTAATCAGAGTTGGTTCATGCGAGGTGTGAGGGGAGGGATACAAGATCCACAGGGATTTGCTGCTTTAAGTATCTCTACTTTCCTTGTTTCTCAGCCAGTCCTTGAGTCTGACAGAGCTGGTTAGGCCATTGCTAGTGAGAGCACCAGGCACATTTCCAGTAACACACCAGTGTGTGTATTTCCTGATGTTTCCGTAGTGACATGTATATGCTTAGAGACTGGAAGCAGCTCAGCAAGTCACCTGTAAGGTGCCCTCAAAGTAAAGTTAGAGGGAGGCAGAGCCTGTGTGCACAGGGAACTGATCCTGAGCTAAATCTTTTTATTTTAGCTGCGCTCTTCCCAGAAAAAAGCCCAGCAGCACCACAAACCACAAAGGGCAGCGATGACTTTGCAACAGACAGCGATGATGATGGGGCCAAGCAGAATGGTGACATGAATGGAGATGACGGTGGGAGGATGGATGTCAGCAGAGCAGTTGGCAACAAAAGGGGAAAGGTGGGAGTCACACTGCCGTGTGCAGCAGCAGGGAAGCGTGGGACTGAGATCCCATCCTGGAGGTGTTTGTCTGATCTATTCCTGTCTCAGCACCAGCAGAAGGTGCAAAACTGCTTGGGAGAATAGACTTTCCCCATGTGCCAGCCACTGACTCGCAGCCTGAGGTGTGAATTACTACCAGTAAATGTTTATCCTGTCTGCTCTAACTAGCAATGTTCCTGCCTGTATAAATAGCTCAACTTTGCTGGGATCCTGCTGCATGCTGTCTTCACAGGGAGACTGTCACATGTCTTGTGGGTCCTGTAATCTTCCTCCCCGTAACACTAGTTAAAAAGTTTTGAAGTCATAGGGTTCTTCTAGGCCCTTTTTCTGCCCAGGTCCTGCCAGAGCCTGATCCTTCTCAGTCTGGGAAGCAGACAGATGTTACATAAAGATGGATAAACATCTGAGGAAGGGGCTGGATGCTTTATAACTGTATCAAGCTGCAAGCTTAAGGCTGGATGAAGTTTAGGTTCATTTCTATGAGACTGTCACTGTTTGTATCTAATGAACCCCTCTGCCTGTCAGAGAAAGGGATGCTACCTTGCAGAACAGGGCAAGGAGAGATCGTGGCTGGCTCTGGGACCAGGGCTGTGCTTGTTCTGTCTCCCTTGGTAAAGCAGATCACACTTGGTTTCTGTTTAAGCTGTCTTGGGCAGGGCTGCATTTGGGTTTTGGAAATACGCTGAGTAACTTTTCTTCCCTCTACAGAAACAGTCAGGCCCCTTAAAGAAGAAATTCAAGAGTCATCATCGAAAACCCAAGAACTTCAAGAAAGCAACCAATGGCAAATAAATTTTATGATAAATATGTGGCATGAAGCCTGTTGTGTAACAATTGCAGAGAGCGCACAAGGCTGCGTGAAGGGTTTGCCCAGTTACCTGGCACAGCTGGGGAAGGAAACAGGGGGGTGGAATTAAGTTATATTCTAACAGCCTTGAGCCACCACCACTGACGGAAGGATGACTGCAGCCAAGCACAGGCAGCCCAGTGCTTGGACCTCTCTCTGGAAAGAGCTTTTTAGTAGGTGAGAGAAAAAGCCCACAAGACCACTAACCAGCATTGCCAGGTAGCCCAGCTGTGCAGCATCACCAGTCGCACACGCCAAGTGGATACAAAGATGCCGTTGTTTTATTTTGATTGTTTCCAAAAAAATCAAAACATTTTCAAACACAACTAAGGTACAAAATACAGCATAAAATGAGAATTTATACTTATTTCTTTTTCCACATAGAAAGCAAAAATATATTCAGAATGAATTCCAGAACACTTTGCAGAGCCAATTGATAGCTGACATCCTGCTTGTGAGAGCTTCTCAGCCACGGGGAGAGGTCACTGTATTTTTAGGAGATGCATAAATACAGCAGTGTATGTAGGAAACCAGAATCTACTGCATCCGGACTCACAGTAAGTCTGCAGATTGCACTGCCTAGAAATATAATGCCCTCCACCTAACTGTGCCCCTTTAGTACTGAAGTATTTCTGCTGCAAGGGACAGCATCAGTTCCTTTTCTGGGGTCTTGTGTTGAAAAGGGGACTTGATTTTCACAGAAGAAACTGGTCAGTATTTCAGACTAGTCCATTATCCAGTTCCCTAGTTGGACAGGGCACAAAGAAGTTGAGAAAGCCAACGTAAGGGCTACTTACAAGAGTTGTTTCTATCGTTCCATTTATAAATACTACAACATCAACAGCAGTTAAAGTATCTGAAAATGGCTGCCTTGATGTAGTCTAAAACTGTTCTAGGACCTGCAGTGAAATTGAGAAAAAGCATCCTGTGCTGCGTATCTGTAAGTGAAAGGACCAGTTTGTTTCGCTATGGAGAGACAGGCACAATGGACACTTGAGGTGAACACTTCTCTTGCAAAACCTATTTAAAAGAAAGCCTTCTATGTGACCTGACCTTAAATACTGGCTTCCCCTCCCATCTACCCCCACATATCAATTAGTTTCCTTCAGCAGCAGCACATTGTGGTATTACACAGGCTATTTTCTCCTTAAGATGATGAAATCACTGGTTTAACATTCAAGAGTGCTCTTCTATTTGTCATCAGTTCTTTCAGCCTAGTTTTCTCTCCTAAAAAGCAACTGTTAAGCTGAACTGTCCAGGTTAGTGTCCTTACCAGGAGACCCTGGTAAACAGCTCCTGCTGGTGACATTCAGCTGAATTGCTCCTTGAACAAACAGTTGAGCAGCTTCCTCAAGAGAGACAACAGTGCAAGGAATCAAAGTAATGTTAACGTTGGTAGGGCTCATGCTTTCTAGAATTCTTTCATGATCTAGTGAAACAGGTTCACCTAGTTTACTAGCAGAGGACAAAATGCCTCCTCTGAGCAGCACTAAGCATGTTCATGGCACAGAGGTTGTGGCACTGAGAGGTGAACACGGGGCCTTCCTTTCTCCTCAGTGTTAGGCTGAGGAGTTCCTCCCTCTGAACAAGTTACATCCCTGGCTGCTTATTCACGGCACAGGCTTTGCACTTGTGTTCTTCAGCTATAACCGTTTGCATACAGAGTTGAGAGCTGGGGCTGTGGCAGCACCCAGCCGACTTCCATGTTTTCTCCCTGCACATCTCAGGTGTGGTCCGAGATGGCAGAGAGAAGGGGCTGTACTCCAGAGTTCAGCACCCCAGCTCTTCTGCTGTTCAGTCAACTGGGACTTTCACAGCTGAGAGACTGACAGAAGTGAACCTAAGAAGCAAAGACTACAGATTAGATTGACTGCTCTCATCTTGCATGTACTGAGTGCAAGGAAAAAGGGGAGTTTCTGTAAAGTGGAGTTTCTGTAATTCTGAAGACACTTTCACCAATAACCTGCAATTCAGATATGTATTTGGGGCATATATGGATGGACACTGGTTAATAGCAGAAAGGAGCTTTTATTATGGAACCTGCAGCACAACTTGGCTCCCCCTCTTGAGAATACAGGAGGGGCAACTTCAGGGAAAGAATGCTGAATAAAGAGTTCTTTTGGCACATAATTTTCACAGAATCTAACATTCTGTCTCTTTAGGAGAATGTCCCCCCACTTCCTTCTGGAAATCTTATGAGCAATACAGGGTTCTCCCTTGTTCCCCTCGAGCAGAACTTGAGATATGTTAGAAAGACTCCTCCCTTTTCTTACCTAGAGGGGGGTACAACTACTTCCAGGGTTTTCTTTTTGGGGGCAGGAAAGACCTCCCCTGTTGTTAAACAAAATGGAATTACAGGCCTCTGAGCAGCAAAATAAGGGGTTTTTTTTTTATGCTGCCTTCCACCTTGATAAGCAATGCTATAACCAGCAACAGAGCTCCTTATGCACAAGACAGTTTTGATGAGGGCAAGAAAGGGGATCCACTTTTTTAGTTATAGCTAGAATCCAACAGCACACTGAACGATACAGTTGTATCTGCTCACAGTACTTCAAATTTTAAAACACTGCTGACAATAAAAGACAGCAACTGTTCTAACTGTAACTCACTGAAGCATCAGCAAAATGCAGGTTCCTTGGGTTAGTTCCAAATCTAGGAAGTTAGAATACGCCTAGGCAACATTCCTTGAAGAAACAGGATTTTATCTATTATATTACTGGTGCCACTGTAAATCAAATTCAAAACATCTGTGCCTTTAATAGGAAGGGGGCATGTACGTGTAAAATGCTGGCAGTTTTTGTTGAATCCATAGAGAACCAGTTCTGGACTTAATATGTTATGTCCCAAGAAGTGTTGCTATTCCTGTTACCACTCTTTTTTCTTCTCATCCATGGAGACTCCACCAGGGCCCAGTGCAACGACGAGGAGGAGCCCTCCAATTACAGACATGGTCTGGAAGAAATCGTATTTGAGGAAGTCGTGCATGGGCTTGTAGGCTGGGACGGTCCAGAAGGCATTGAAGTAGATGTTGATCCCAAACAGCCAGATGACTAGAGTCAAGGCAGCCAGCTTAGTCTTGAAGCCAATTGCCACCAAGATAATCAGGGCTGTGCCTACAATGTTCTGCAGAATCTACAAGATAAAAAAAACCCACAAGCTCACACACAGGTCTTAAAATATGTACACAAACATCAGAACAGACCACAGATAAGTTCAGCAGAACAAGTTGCCATGGCATAGATGATTTAATAACTTTTCTAAATATTAATTCTACTAAAAAATAGACTTAAGTGATAAGCATTGAGTCCTGCAGACAATCGGGGAGCTGGTCCTATATGCTAGTTCCTTAACTAGTACTTTTATACTCAGATACTTACAGAAAAGAAGTTCATATCAAAATGTAGCAGTGTCATGAACATGAGGACCAGCAACACACGGCCCCCCAGCTGCATGTACTGCTTAGGAGAGCTTTCCCGCATGGTAGGGACACCAGCAAACATGCTCTTCCCCTCTGAGCGTGACTCAGCCAAAAGCAGCAGTAAGCCTCCCCCAAGGGCAAGGTTCCTACAGAAAGACAGAAATGGGGAAAAAAAAGCAGTTTACTACAGTTTGCACTGATCTATAGATTTAAAGTCTTATCTGACAATTTCAACTCTATGAATCTGCATGCTAGTGAGGAGTGACCTACTCTGCACCCTGCGATGCGTGTCTGCATTGCACTTCACAGCTGGAACAGCAGCACTGTACACAGCAACAATTTACAGAAGCCTGTGTGGATACCAGCAGCCTGCCAGAGAAGTCCAGCACCCACAGCTCAGGCACAGCTTCTTAGCATCTGTTACAGCGCAAACTTAGGTGCGCTGAAGTTACTCTGTACCTCAGGTTTAGCTACATAGGCCAAAGCAATAACACATTTACAGGGTTGTAGAAAGCCCAGAATACAGTTCCCCTGCTACCCCCTGCCCTCCTCTCAGAGGAGAGGGGAGAAAAGGTAACAGCCAGCCATCATGCAGGATTACACAAGAAAGGTCATGTTTAAGAGCCCTGTCTTCTACTTAGATAAGTTGTGCGAGATTTCAAATCCCAGAAACCACTCTAATATCTACATGCTTTAGTTTTCTCAGAAAATGGCTTCAGTCATGCACAAGCACAGCTGCTATTTTAGCCATTGAGGAAGTAATAGCATCTCACTGATCCAGTCCAGACAGTTGTTTGTGAGCTCTCAGCAAGGTTAGTAGCAGAAGCCCTTATATCCTAGTGGGTTAGGATTAGTCTGTCCCTTATACAGCACTGAGCCTGCTGTCTACAGTCTAACATGGATGGTACTGTTTAAGTGCCATCATTACTTGTTTAATGTGGATGCATCATTTGTTAAAATCTTTCTAGAAGTACTATGTACAAAGATCATTTCCTCTGTCAGCGAGTGGCAGCATCACTCAACAGTTTTCATTCTGTTTTGATAAAGACTTTAAGAAGTAGACATACCTCATCAAGAACTTCAGGTCCCATAGAATGCTGTTGGAAAGAAGAAAACAGGTTAAAACACCAGATAAATTACACTGGAGTTCTGAATTTATGTTCCAATCTCAAGCCTCTACTATCCATAGCAGAAGTAAATTAAAAGTATGTTATACAGAAGGAAACAAGGTAGGTTACATCAGTGTGGTTTGGTGAATCAGTGTAGAACAGGAAACAGAAGCCAGAATTTGACTTGTGCTTTAGCCCCCACAAAAATTCATGGGTTTTGAACAGGAAGGATGCTGCTAGCTAGGATCCTTTGCAATGGGGACTGTCCTTTATAAAAGCTGTGTGCTGACAGCCAAAGCAACTGCAAGTTCCACATTTGGCACATTACTGACACACAGGGAAATTGCAAGTAACTTCTGCTAAATTGGTCAAGGTCAAGTATTGAATCAACATCTCCAGCTGACTAATTGCAACTACAGCCAAGGAGCTATTGGGCACATCAGAAGAAAAGAAGCAGCAAAATAGTTCAATGCCATTGAGGACTGGCACTAGGCCAGGGTGGAGAAAAATTCCAGGATTGAGAGTTGTATTTAAATATGTTGGTAGTACTGGGGCTAAGAGAGAAGATTTGAAATATATGGTTTAGAAGGGCTGAAGACTTAAGCCTCCTACCTGTAATGCTATAATTCCAAACAGTCCAAAGCAGGCATATTGCACAAAGTTCCTACTCAGCACCAGGATACAGCCGCCTGAGTTGGGGAAATTGAACACAGTTACACTTCTGGCTTGCACAGGAAAAGATGCTGCAGGGATGCTCACTTGTTTTGAGCTGGGCAGGCTCTGATTTCCTTCCACTGTGCCACAGAGAACATCTGGCAGGAAATTTTAATGGCACACTGGCACAAGTAAGTTTGAGAACCAACAAGTTTTAGTGTATTTTAAAATACAATTCCAGAAGTATATTTTACAAAAGGTAAGCACATGCTGATCACAGTCCAACACACAGCACTGTACAACAGGTCAGTGTTAAAACATTAAAAGAAGTTAAAAAGAAACAACTCATAATGGATTTTTTTTCCAAAAGGTAACTGTTAGGGCAAACATCCTGCACGCCTTTTCCTTGAAAGCTTTTGTTTTATATCCTTCCTCAAGTCTTCCATCACAAAGCACTGATGGACTTTGCCACAAGGACTGGTAACTACACTAAATTAAGCTGACTCTCTACACAAAAATATGAGGGTAAAAAAATTCCAAACACAATACAAGAAAAGGCAGAGCAATCAAGAACAGCAGATCAGGACCATAACAGAAAATAATTTCACTTCTACTTCTGATACCCTAAATCCACGTAGCACACAGAGAAGGTCTGCTTCTGGAATTATTTTGATTCCTTGGCTTTGGAAATCTTTTCAGGCACCTCAAGCACCTCTTCAAGCTTGTGTACCAACTGCAGGATAAGACTTTGCCACTGAGATTAATACCCATTAAAAAACAGTCTGAGAAAGTCTTAACACTGCCCCGTTTAAGAAACTACAAGTATTTCATTTGGAGAATTACAGATGCATATACAGAATTGAAAACAGATTGTCCTAACGGACTCTTGGCATCTGACTCACAGGTAGCACATCACAAGAAATCCTCTAAGACTATTTCCAGGAAAGGCTGAAGCAGGTCAATTAAGAGTTCTTTTCATTCAGCCCAGGTAGCACTATCAGTTCTAAGCTGTCACCGGCTATTAAGAAATCAGTGAGACATCCCATGCTTACATGATTCACAGTGCTTACATGCGCCAGGGTGGCAGACACACTGGAGTGCTCTGGCATCCACCTTAACAGCCTTAGAATCACTTACTGAGCTGTCCGAAGAGATTTGTGAACACAAAGATGGTGGCCAGGAAATAGCCACAGTTCCACGTGCCATCAATGTAATCCCTCTGTTCACTCCACTGGAACCACATGCGGATGCCATCCTCCAGGAAGGTGCTGATCAGGCACAGGCGGGCCACGTGAGGGAGGTACTGCTTCGTCACCCTCAGGAACTGCCGGGCAGACAGCACAGTTAGCAAGGAAGGCAGACAAAGTGATATTCACGGCATAACAGACCCATGCACTCTGCAGACTCCGAGGTCATACACAGAGGGCCATCAACATCTAGAGAGAAATCCACATCTCAAGTATGTGTTTAATGAAATTCTTCTCCATTCCAGTTTCAGAACACTTGGGAGCAGTGGGGGAAACCTGCTGTCATGCTACACCCAGAGCATTTTGGACAAGGACTCAGAGAAAAGCAGAATCCAGCAACACCTTTCTATGTAACAGAAACTGTTTTGATGGAGCTCTTACTAGCTGAAGGCTGACCTTGGTTTTAGTTCGTCTATTCTCAGGGTTTCATGTTACAGCTCAACTATCAGATAGCCAGGAGCCAATCCTACTCCCACCCACATACTCAGGCACTCAACACCCTGTAACACACTGATTCAGGGAGTCACACTGACAGAAGACCAATTCTGTAAAAACTAAAACACATTAATAAACTTTCTGACAAGCTAGTTCCCTACAACAGCTCAGAAAAGCAACAGCACAAAACAGCTGCACTTGTGTAGCAGCAGCAGCAGCTAGCAGATCAGCGTAGCCATCGCATGAGATTGCAGAGTGGATAGAAGGGGCAGGTATACACAGTTTCTACTTCTATTAAAGATAACATCCTCTACAGAAAGAAAATAGGCGTTTGTATATACAACTCAGTGTAGTAGTTCAAAGGAAATTATATCATGCAACAAACGCTGAGCCTTAGTTCTTGGGAATGCAGGATGCATCTGGTCCCACACACCCCCTCATGCTGCAGACTCACTGGTTTGCTCTCCAGTAACAATCATTATAAAGGACAAATACAGAATCGATAAACAGGGTCTAGACTAGCACATGCTTTAAGACTGTGAAGAGCACAGGAAAACTTACTGCCTCTGGATTATGACAAGCGCTTAACTGTCACCCAGTTTCCTAAATAGCACTGGTTATTACTTATGGAGAGTTCCACTAGGATTTGCATTGTCACCCTGACTGCCAGCTAGCACCCGGCTGGCCCATTCCATGCAGGAGTTCAGCTCTGCAAGATCACTAAAAGGACATGTTTGGAGTCAGTGTTTGTTGCTGGTTGAGTAAGTGCAATCTAGTAAGAAACAAATGTAAACTGAATCTAAATAACTACAAGATTGTCCATAAGGTTTCTACCTTCCTGTGACAGGACCAGTTTGCGCAGGTTGACACTTGTGAAAGTAAATGCCCAAGCCACAAGCTGTCAGGCAGAACTGCCAGGCTCTGCAGAGGTCGCTGCATTAGAACTAGGAGGAGGAGCCATTTAACAAAACCCCATGATCCCACACAAAGTTTGATGTGTTGTAAGCCACATTGATTCATACCATTTATGCAATATTAGAATACTTGGAGCATGAAAAGGGGTGGGAGAACCTACATGTGTATAGCTCTGCTGTTTTCCACACAGCATTTAGCTATATCATAAAAAATGGACAGAAGAGGCACACAAACCTTTTCTTTCACATTTCAGTATTTACATTGACTTCAGGTTAGACAATACAGTTAATCAGTTTCTTTCTGGGCATTTAAAAAAAACCCCAACATTTCTGAAGCACTGCCTGCTTTCAGTATATATAGGATTACGGTGAAATCAGACTAAAGCCATTTCTGAAAGTTTATTCTTGCCAGTAATTAGTAAATACTAAAGGCTGTTCCAAATTCTATGCAAATGACAAGCCTGGCTTACTGTGTAACTGAAGATTATCACAAAAAAAGCCTCCAGCAAACATGCCTAACAGTTAATATCAGAACAAACTACACTAGTTGTACTGCATGCATCCAGAGTCTAAGGGTCAGGATTCGAGTCAACCAAGTGCATTTTAAGTGCAGCTGTACTCTGACTCAGGCTGCCACTTCAGGCTTTTTAAAGCCATGTTAGCAGTCGGATGAATGACTCAGAAGAAAATTTGTGATCTTTGTCACTGAACGAGACACACATCCCGGTTTACAGCTTTCTTCTCTCCCAGATTTCACCATGCATTTGGGCAAACTTGCAGAAGAATACTAAGGATAAAATTGTTTTGGAAATAGTACAAAACCAAAAGTGGTTTGTAAAGTAAGCCTGCTTTGTAGAGACACAGAACAGGCAACTTAGGTCTAGAAGAAAATGAAAGAGGACAAGTGCTGGGCATCTGCAGGAAGAGGAAAAACACCACTACTGTGGAAAGGCTGAAAAAAGCAGCAAACATGAGAGAGGATATCTGCCTCCAGGCCTCATCTTTGTTGTTCTGAAGTGGGTCATGGAGCTGATCTCATCTTCCCCTTCCCTGACACTGAACAATGGCCAACAGTCCAGGTGAAGGAGCCAAGAAGGTATTTAACATTTACCTGTTCTTATGGCATACAGAGGGAATTTAACGCTACCCATTAAACATGAGCACACACATCCAATCAGCTTAAGACAAGTCAGAAGGACTGCAGCCTAAGGCAGCTCCAGTGCTAAGCAACCTTATCGTGACAGGTATCATCTCTGGACATCCATAACCGATGTAGCTGCATTTACTTAGCTACACACAAGTGCAAACCCCCGCACACAGCAAGCTTAAAGTAAAAGGCTTCAGAGACAGACTGCATGAATAAAAATCCCAAGCCTAGAGAACAACTAGCCACAGAGATGCAAAGAGAGGAAGAAAACAGTTACACAATTACCACATGAGAATGTACAGAAAGTAATTTTATGGTTAGAGGATTTGAGTATAAATCACCCAAGTAATTTAAGAAAGGACAGAGTAACATAAGAAACAGGAAACCTCTAGAAGTGGGACAGAACTAATAGTAGCAGACACCCTGGTTTTGTCCCTACACATCACTAGCAACGTGTGGCTCCATCGCTACACCCTGAGACCACTTCCTACTTCCTTTACAATTCAGATAAAAGCAGCACACATGGGAACTTGCTAGCTGCAGTTAAACATATCCAACCAAGACATGGGACTTGAATCACACCCCACTAAGCACAATCCACGCAAGCCAGAACTAAACTGTCAAGATTAATGGAGGTGGCAGTGTTAAAGTCCTGACACTGAGTAACTGGATGCCTTATTCCGCTACGGCCTTTGCGTCAACCGTTCTTAGCACATACTGCCTTCTTGCAAGAGGCAAAACATCTTGAGAAAAGACAACAAAAGACTGAACAAAACTACTTTAAAGGAGAACAGCTGGTTCTGTGTTGGCAGCCAAATCACTAACATATACCAGAGGGGCTTTGTGTTGTCACTTCCCCCTCTAACAGGACCAGAAAAGCAAATATAGATTTAAATGCTCCCCTTAGTTTAACAAGCAAAGATGCACAAGAGGATCCAGGGATCCCTAAATCAAATCTTTGCTCAAAAACACATTTTTCAAAAGGAGGCTTGAAATACTCAAACCCATAAAGAGGCCTGACCAAAGGGAGGTAATAAAGTGATTCTGTTTTGACTCTTACCATGCTTTCTAAACTATATCGTGCCTCCAACAGTTTCAAATTTGTTAAAAATCCAATCCGTTAGAAGTGCATATACCACAGCATAATGTGTACGGTCCTTTATCAGGGAGTGTAGCGATAGGATGAGGGGTAACAGTTTTAAACTGAAAGAGGGTAAGATTTAGACTAGATATTAGGAAGAAATTCTTTATTGTGCAGGTGGTGAGGCAGTGGCCCAGGTTGCCCAGAGAAGCTGTGGATGCCCCATCCCTGGAGGGGTTCAAGGCCAGGCTGGATGAGGCTTTAGGCAACCTGGGCTGGTGGGAGGTGTCCCTGCCCACCGCAGGGCGTGGAACTCGATCTCTAAGGTCCCTTCCAGCCCCAACCATTCTGTGATTCTATGATAATTACAGGTATTAAGACCAATACACAGCCAGGAACTGTGAATTTTGCTGTCATCTAGGTGTATTCTGTCCAAACACAGAACCCTTTTCTGTATCTGCACTCGTGTTCTCACGTCAGGGAAATTATGATCATAGTGATGAACCACAGTTTTCTGATCAACACAGAAAGCCCTCACAGGTTGCACAGCATTATTAGTCTAGAGCTTTTGATAAAGGTAAATGAATACAAGCTAGCCATTTGGAATTCAAGGGATTCCTTTGTTCTGGAGGACAGAGACACCCCACAGCCTGGGACACCAGTGATCTTTTCTGGAATAGGATGCTCAATCCTCTGGCGCAAAGAAAATCACTTCCTTTCACCAACCTGTGTATATCCACTTAAGGAAACCCCACAAAGACAGCAACACCCATCACATTGGGCTAACCAATGTCCACAAGTCACAAAAACTCAGAACAGTTCTGCTTATTTCAAAAGGCAAGAAAAGGGCTCTGACTCACTAAAACATTGCGAACAATCTTAATCAGTTTTTTAAACTGCAGGAGAATTTCTCATGACAATGCATTTCACTTCTAAAGTGTACTTTATACCAATTCTGTTTTCCAAAAGGCTATTTATTAATCAAACCTTTAAAATGGGATTTATTAGTCATATATTGCATTTTGGTATCACTCTTAACGGGAAGATTCCTTCACACCCTAACCAGAACAGGCTATTTGGCTTATAACGATAAGGGATCAGTGCACTGACATGACTAAGTTAGAGGACATTTTCAAACTCTTTTTTAATATAAAACACAAAAAAGTTCAGATTAACAATGAAGCATTTTCTTCTCCCTTCTGTTTTCTGCACAGTAGGGTATCAAGATGTTAGAATTAGCTGAACAACATGCATCAGCATTTATGTTGGAAAATTAAATAAAACCCCCAGAGTCTGGTTCTCCCTTACAGTACTTTCACTATGGCACAATGACTCAATATATTGTCTCCCTGCATTTTTGTCCATAATTTTTTTTACAACAGCAGAAATACCAGGCACCCACATTCCTAAAGATTACTACACACACTTGAAGTGTTCCCTGAGATCTGCTCCCTCTTACAAGGATTACAGAGGAGAGACAACCAGTTCTGTAACCCTGAACAACCAGTACAGGCCCCAGATACAGCTATTTCCAGTGTGATAAAGTCAGCAGTACACCGTGACTGCAATGAAGGGCTGAGCATGTCATATTTTAACAAGAAACACTAAAAAGGGCTTAACTTCCGAGTATGTCAATTATTTACTTAATAACATTGGGCTGGTGTTACGGGGCTTAAAAACAAGCCAACCCATAAAGCCTCATAAAGCCTGGGCATCATTCTGAACCAAGATCCTGATTTCCTTGCACTGCATATCACCTAAAGAACCCTTAATAGCTTTTCCCACCCTCCCCAATATCTAACGAGTTGCCTTCTCCAAAATCACCAGGACCACCCCCTAACACCCACAAATAGCTGTCTCCTCTGCTGCTGTCCTTGGAACTGCTAACAACTCAGAGCGGAACACCTCACCAGCCATACCATGCACCTGCAGGCTAACAACTCACACTAGGGCCAAGCTAAAGTCACGGCTAGTTCTCATCACAAGTGACACCACCACCAGCATTGGTGCTCACTTGACCTAAACAAAGAGATAATTGAACCAACAGAAAAAATAAAATCAATTTTTTTTCCCTGCCAGTTCAGTTCTCCAGTCTGGTGACAGAAAAGTGATAGTGTGAGAAAAAAGGGGAACGTAGCCTTGGGAGAAGTGGGACAACCCCTTCCACTGATAGCTAGCTGTCAGGCAAGCTTAGCTGCCTTTAAGACCATGCCTGCAGTGGTTCACCTCTGGATTAAGAGCCACCAGTTACTACTGAGTATCTCTGCATCTAAGGCATAACTTGCTAATTCAAAGGAAAATCACAGTATTTGAGAAAAGTTAAGCTTCAGTGTTTGAATTTAAGTAACAGATTATTCTTGCTTTTGTAAGAGACAATCAGGACTTACTGATAAACCACGGAAGTAGATGTAACATTTTCCCACATGGCTTTTATGCTACAGAAATTAAGACTTATTAGGTCTCAAATACTAGTAGAGGGAGTGGAGAGAGCAAGGATATAGTTGAGAATGCATTCAGCTCCCAGAACAGCCATTGTCCAGCTTCATCAAGGGGAGTTTCAACATAATTTCAGTTCAAATGTTCCAAGACTTTTTTGTTGTTGTTTTAATCCAAGATGAACTAACAAATGCCAAGTGTTAACTTCACAATATATGCCAAAGGTTACTGTTTAGCAAATCTCTCCACTCCTACACTGGTGTGACACTGAGTTTTAGCAGCATACACAGTACAGAAAGTACCTGGTTGAGCTATGAGGCAGCTATTTGAAGGCAGAATTATCAAAGGAGTTAGTTACTTGGAAAGCCATAAAAATTGTTTTGCAATCTGATGGGTAAGTGTATGCAAACACTCCAAATTCTGCAGCTAAGGGAAAGTCTCATCTTTAAATAGAATGTGGCCAAGCACAAATAAAATTGTGCCATTTAAAGCTCATTTCAGGAGAAAGCAAACTGCATTTTAGCTGGACAAGAGAGCTTTCAGTAGTATGAAAAAGGGGTGTTAAAGACTTCTAGAAATAGTCACACAGGAATAAATAGAGAGGTGTTATAAAAAGGTCAGGACAAGCACTGTAAATTTTGGCAAGTAATTTGAACACTATAGTGACAGTTTACTTTCTCCTCTAAAAGGAATAAGAAGACAAGGTAAATAGAGGATGATAAAGATGATCCAGACACCCCTTAAATTGAAGACTCCATGCACCATAAGAAGCTCTGTCTCTAAACCGACTCTTCCATCCGGGGGTGGGGAAGGAAGTGCAGAACAGGTTTTCCCAGTGAAACTCAGTTAAAGACACAAGCAGCACAGCCCCCTCAAAGCTGTGACGTGTTATCATGCACCACACAACTCAAACTCCTCCAATAGTCAGAGTTAGAGAACCAGGCAGAATCAGATTTTCCAGACAACTTGCTGAATATGATTAGATGCTGCCTCTTATTTTCAATCAGATGAATCATCGTAACAGTGAAGATCTTTCTAACACCATCACCAGCAAATTAACTACTTACACTCAAAATATTCCTGCTCTCACATACAATAAGAGACCACAAACTTCTATTTAACAGAGAAATCTGTAAGGGCCTTCACTGCAATAAACAGAAAAAGCATTACAAGTCAGTATCAGCTTTTGCCCCAATTCTAAGCACAGCACTACGGTCAAAAAGCCTCTTCCATTCGGGCTGTCCAGATTTCAGCCACGAATCAGATTTTTGCATCCTTGTTGCCACCACCTCTCCTCAGTTCCCCACACCCCTTCATGTGCCAGCTCAGTGTCCTGCTCTCCCATTTACTCCCTCCCAGGGAGAAGCCCAGCTCCCGAGAACTCTGCTTCGCTATCCGA